TTATGTGCTGTGAAAATACCATCTGTAGAATATTTTAGTGACTTTTGGCAGTTTTCATGTTTTCTCTTCCATATGAATTTTAAGAGTTATATCAAGTTCAAAAACCAAGCAGAGGTCTTGTTTGAATGTACATAATTGCATTAAGTTGATATACTTTGACATTAGGTCTTTTCATCCAAGAATATGATATCTTACCATTGAAAACCTTGGATTTCCTAGACAGTTAGCTCTTTATTGTAATATGTATGTCATTTGTTTCTTTTTGAGGTTTTTTTTTTATATTTGTGTATTTGTGCAGGGCACATGTATGTAGGCACACATGTGCTATGACATAATCGAATGTTTTATTATTGGGAGAGGCCATGTGTGCCGCACATGTGTGTGTGTGTGTGTGCGTGCGCAAAGTTCTGAAGACACCTTTCAGGAGTTAGTTCTCTCCTTCACTGGCTGCTGGGGATCAAACGCAGGTGGGAGGCCCACCGGCCCTCTCAGCAGGCCTGTTCCTTTGTTTTTAACGGTTCTGAATCCGTTAGCACCATTAAGACCATGTTGGCAGGAGTGTATCAGCAGAGCCCTTCTCTGTCCCTGGACAGTAATGGAAATGCCTTTGGTTTCTGTGCTCAGCATCACTTATCTTGTAAAGTGCGTAGACTTTATCATGTCAGGACTTTTTCTAGGTCCTTATATTGCTCGGATTTTTATAGGAATGGCTCTTGAATTTTTTGAAAAGCTTTTACTACAGCTTGATATAATCATATTATTTTTAATCCTTTAATAGTATGAATTATTTTAACCGATTAATATTGAACTGTTCTTTCATTCTTACATAATAAATCCTGCCTCTAAAAAATAATCCTCTTAGCTTCCTTTCTCTTTTTTCAAATCTGTTTTATATTTTGCATGATTTTGAACATTTATAAAAGTAGACAGAACACACAGTGGAATTGAGTCCCCATATAGCTCTCAGTTAGATCATCACTTGACATCAGGTCCTGCTCGATCCATATTTTTTCCACATATACTCTAAATAATTTTGAAGTAAGTATCAGATACATTATTTCACAGGTAGATATATTTTAGTATTTTTATTTACATGATGAACTAGTTTTGAAAAATAAGTACTGGGCCTGAGGAGACAACTCAGTAAAGTGCTTGCCTGACAGGCATGATGTTGGAATCCCTGCCACCCACATAAAAAGCTAGGCATGGTGGCACTGATCAGTAGCCCTGATGGATCCCCAGAGCTTACTGGCAGCAAGTCTGCCCAGTTGGTGAGCTCTGGGCTCAGATCCTGGTGGAAGGCTGGGCATAGTGGCACACACCTTTGGTTCTAGTACAGATATGGAGTAGAGGAAGGCAGATCTCTGAATTCAAGGCCAGCCTGGTCTACATGTCAAGTCAAGGATAGCCGAAGCTACATAATGACACTTTGTTTCAGAAAACCTAAAAATAAAAATGTAAGGCGGAGGGGCTAGTGAGATGGCTTATCAGGTAGAGGCACTTGTCACCAGGCCTGAGATGTGAACCTCCCCCGGAATCTCCACTTTTGTGCCAAAGCACAAGTGTGTCTGTGCAAACACACACACACACACACATACACACACACACACACACACACACACACACACAGAGTAAATAAATGTAAAAAGCTGGGCGTGGAACATGCCTTTAAGCTCAGCACTTGGGAGGCAGAGGCAGGAGGTTCTCTGAGTTCAAGGCCAGCCTGGTCAACAGAGTGAGTTCCAGGACAGCCAGGGCTTCTTGGCTTCTTAGAGAAACCTTGTCTATGAATGCAGGAACGAAGGAACGATTGAATGAATGTAAAATAAACTGTGGATAGTAATAGAAAACACCCAGCTTACTGGTGTCTTGACCTCTGGCTTGTGCACATACATGTGCAGGACATGCACCCACATGCACATGTACTCACACACACAAACATGCAGTCATTCACACAGCACATCTCCATGCACACAAAAATGAAAACCAGGTACACCTAAAGTAAGTAGCCAGCTGTGTTCACGTTCCAGCTACTCATATATGAATGTATAAAGGCGTACGTGTGTGTCTGTATACATTCATATTTGAATCAGAATCCAAAGTAAATTAGCACAGCAGTAGGTTGGTGGTCTGGGGGCCTTCTAACACCCGTATGTTCCTCCTCGCATCTTTTCCCCTGACTCTTTATTTTCACGATACCAGGTCATTTGTCTCTAATCCTTACATTTGCCCATAGTCTCTATTTTGCTGATGGTATCCCTGTAAAAGTTACCTGTGTTCTCTGTAAAGTGGACTTGGTGCATTATTTTAATGTGCTGTTGTATTCATCTTGCTATATTTCATTTAATGTGTATATGTATTACAAGATGAAATACATTTTTTAATACTTTGTTTTAATTTTAGATTTTTTTAAATTAATTTTATGTTTATGAGTGTTTTGCCTGCATGTATATGCATCGCCTGGTGTCTGTCTACAGAGGGCAGGAGAAGGTGTCAGATATTCTGGAACTGGGGTTACAGATGGTTGGTTGTGAGCCACCATGTCGGAGCTGAGAATCAAACCCAGCTCCTCCGGAAGAGCAGCCACTGCTTTTTACCTCCTGAGCCATCTCTCCAGGCCCCAAGATAAGATTTTTTAAAGACTTGTTTTTATTATTTAATTGTGTGTGTGTGTGTGTGTGTGTGTGTGTGTGTGTGTGTGTGTGTGTGTGGTTATGCGTACATGCATTTGTTGGAGAAGTGCCTTTGGAAGCCAGAGATGTCATATCCCCTGGAGCTGGGGTTAAAGGAAGTTGTGAGCTGCTAGATGTTGGTGCTGGAAACCAAACTCAGGAACAGTATATACTTTGGATTGCTGAGCCATCTCTCCAGCCTAAATTTTTTGTTTGTTTTTAATGTTTCTGTTTTGTCTTAGTTTTGGTTTCTGGAGCATGGTATCATATAGCCCAGACTGGCCTCTAACTCACTGTGCATCTGAGGTAATCCTTGAACTCCTGGTCCCCTAAGTGCTGGGATCACATGCATGTTTCAGCACATTTGGCTTAGCAGGGAGTTTTAACAGATGGTCTGTATCCAGGCCATAGCAGATCGTTTTTTGCAGGCTTGTTTTGTTGAAGTGGCATGACCATGATGGGATAACTTGATAAAGGCAGCACGTGCTGAATAAGCGGAGGTAAAGTCCAGCATTCGGCATCCAGACCATCCAAACAGTAAAGCATGGGTATTGCTTAACCTTTGCTCTGGACTGCCCTTGGCGTTGCCACTAGTGTGGCTTTCGTTCAGTCCACTGTCCTTCCCCGCCTGTGGTTATGTTCCCTTCAAAGTCCGTTTCTCTGTTGCAATTCTTTTTTTCTTTTCCCAGGTTTCATGTGTGAGTACATGTAATGTGCATGTATGTGTGCGTGCGTGCGTTGACATTTGTACATGACCACGCAAACCCAAGATTTGGGAGTCATCATCCTTAGCCACTTTTTTACTTCTGAGTTATTCATGGAGGCGGGGTCTTAGTCAAGCCCAGAGCTCTCCATCCTGGCTTCTCTTGCTAGCCAGCGTGCGCTGGGGTTACCCTGTCTCAGAGATGGAATTAGAGGCGGACTGCTGCATCCACCCGGCATTTGTGTGGGTTTTGAGGCATCTGAACTCCAGTGCTCACACTCAGTATGCTCAAGCACTTCAGCTACTGAGCTCTCTGTCTCCTTCTATCGAGAGTTCTTTTTCATCTGCAGATGAAATCATGACATCTTGTCTTGGTAGGTATTAAATGACATCTTTGGGCTGGTGCTTAATTAAACACTGTAGCTGGCTACCTGCCTTTATTGAAAGTGCAGTCTAGGAGAGAAGGAAAGCAATCGCTAATTAATACAGAACTTAAAACTAAAAGAAGTGTTCTGAAGGAATGAAATCATAGCTGCAGTAGGACAGAGACCCAGGAAACGTCTTCTGAAATACTTGGGCTGGGGGTTGGAGGAGTGGAACTCTGCGGTAGAGCATTCGCTGAGCATGAATAAGTCCCTGGTTCAATTCCAAGTTTGAGATAAGAGCAAAAAGTGCATATTAGATGAAGCAGAATGAGGGGGAAAATGCACTCAGAGGACTCTGTAGGCTTGGCAGCAGGACGAAGCGCAGCTCCTGCCAGGAACTGAAAGAAAACAGCTGGGCTAGAGGGCAGCACGCTTGGAAATGCCGAGATGAGCTGGAGGGAGGTGGCGTGGGATAGCCAGGCCATAAATATGCCACATGAGCACCTTAAAAAGAAGTGTGTGTGTGTGTGTGTGTGTGTGTGTGTGTGTGTGTGTGTGTGTGTGTGTGTGTGCGCACAAGTACCTGTGGAAGCAGAGGTGTCGTTCCCTGGATGCCATTTCCTTTTCTTTTTGAGATCGGTCCCTGGAACTTCCTGGTTATGCTAGGCTGACTGCCCAGCAACACCAGGGCTGCTCCTGTCTCCGTCTCCCCGGCACTGAACTATAAGCATGGGTTGCCACATCTGACTTTCTGTGCGGGTGTTAGGGATCAAACTCAGCTCCTCTTGCTTGCACAGCAAATATTTCACCAACTAAGCTATTTCTCAGCCCCCAGTAACTAAATTTTTTAAATGTCTACTACCATAATTACTTTTCACTGGGAAAAAGTAATGGTTTAGATAAGGTCATGCTTCTAAAAACAGGTCACCTTCTTGTGCTGTAGGATTTTGTATTTAATAATCTAAATTCTATCAGTTGCTCCAGGAAGCTAATGGCACGTAGCAAGGTGTACTGTTTTAATTAAGAAGCTAGATGGAAAATGAATACCCTCATAGTCATTAGAAACAACAACAACAAATATTGATGACGTGGGGACCGAGTGAAGGAAGTATTTACCTAGGAATTAACACTTTTCAACTTATTCAAGAGTGAGAAAAAGATGATAAAGCATACAGCTTAGCCAGACAGTCATTAAACTTCTTAGCTCTTCTTAAAGCTCCAGAGTTCTTTATTCTAACTTGTGTCTGTTTGTCCTTGCAGGAGAGTAGTTATTTTGATGAATGTGGAAGTTGTAAAATCAGCTGAAGAAGTTGGAATAAAGATTGGGAATCCGGTGCCCTATAATGAAGGTAAAATCCTCTTTATAGGTTATAGCCCTCAACTGGATACTGCTTTAGAGATCCAGAGTGCTACTTTGTGACTTAGTCGTCTTAATAAAGTGGTGATTTGGGGGGCTATAGACCAGGTTACTGTTTTGTTGTTGTTGTTGTGGTTGCTTTATTTTATAATTTTTTGTTGGTTGGGTTTTTCTGTGTAGTATTGGCTATCCTGGAACTCAATCTGTAGACCAGGCTGGCCTCGAACTCACAGAGATCTGCCTGCCTCTGCTCCCCGAGTACTGGGATTAAAGTAAAGGCGTGTGCCATCATTGCCCAGCTTATTTTACTTTTTTAATACTGAAGATACGATATATAAATAAATAGGGAGAAATTTAAGAAAGAATGTAGTGGTCATTCTGTGTAAGAGTTGACTGAAATAACCTAGAACATTCTGATAATGCAGGATTTATATGATAGCTGTAATGTGAGGGAGCCAGGTGCATTCTTCTGTGTGTGGTTCGTGAACATGTGTGTATTTGTACATGTGTGTACATGGAGGCTAGAGACCAGAGTTGGTGCCTTCCTCTATTGCTTGCTACCTTGTTTCTAGAAAGACGGTCTCCTTCTGAACCTGGAACTCCCTGAACTGGAAGCCCCAGGGATCTCAAGGAAGGTACTCATGCTTGACTGGCAGGTTCTTTACTGCACCAAGCAACTCCCCAGCCCCAAGAAGTGTCTTCTTAGGAGTTATCTTGGGCAGACTTACGGGGTTTGGTTATTGGTTTGTTTTTGTTTTGAGATTTTCTTGTTTATTTAGTGGCCCTTGCTGATTTTATGCTCAGTTTTCCTGTTTCAGCCTCCTGAGTGGTGGGACTGCAGATGGGTTTCACCACACCTGACTCAAACCCTGTGTGGCTGAGGATGGCCTTCTACTCCTCATCCTCCTGCCTCTACCTCCCAAACACTGGGATTATAGCCTGGGCCATCATGGTGGTTAACAGCATTTATCCCTGATGGCAAGATTATTATTTTTTGTGCAAGTTGGAGGCCAGCCTAGACCACCAGAGACCCAGTCACCAAACCAAACCAAACCAAACCACTCAGCTTTGTGATCTGTGTCTTGATCTTTCCAGGCAACCCTTGGCCTTATACCATTAAATACTGTTAAAGCTGGGTGAGGTGGTTCATGATTGATATCCCAGCGCCCTACAGGTTGAGAAGGAGTTTTTGTTCTTTTGGTTTTTTGAGACAGGTTTTCCTTACATATCTGGCTGTCCTGGAACTCACTTTGTAGACCAGGTTGGCCTTGAACTCAGAGATCTGCCTGCCTCTAATTCCCAAGTGCTGGTATTAAAGGTGTGTGCTACCATGCCAGGCTTGAATCAGAAGAATTTTGAAGTCAACATTGACTGCATAGTGATTTTCAGGCTAGCCTGTGCTACAGAGTGAGACCCTGTCTCAAGCCCTTCCTCTCAAAAATTTAATTGTGAATTTAAATCTGTTAGTATGTGTGTGCATGTGCATGTATGCAGCATGTATGTAGAGGTCAGAGGGCAACTTTCAGGAATCTGTTCTCTCCTGTCCTATTGTGGGATCTAGGGATGGAATTCCTCGGATCATCAGGTGTTTGAGTGCTTGTTTCCCATCCAGCCTCTGCCTGGGGTGCTGGGGTTACAGTTGTGAGCCACTATGCCTGGCCGGGAGGTTCTGGCTCATCGGGTTAAGGAAGTTTTACTTCTTTTTCTTGTTTGCTGACATTGTTGTGAAGAATGAATGGTGAATTTTATCAAATGCCTTTTCTGTATCTATTAGTAATCAAATGCCTTTTCTATTTTAGTTAGCTAATATAATGAATTATAATTATTGATTTTTATATGCCAAAGCAACCTGGGCTTCCTGGGATAAGTCTGGATTTGTGATACGTTATCCTTTTCACATATTTGGATTCACATGTTTGCTTTGCTGAATCCACCTGATTTAATTTTGTTTAGTATTTTTTTGCATCTCTGTCCATGAGAGATTTTTTTTTTAAGATTCATTTATTTATTATGCATACAGTGTTTTGCTGCATGTATACCTGCAGGCCAGAAGAGGGCACCAGATCTCATTACAGATGGTTGTGAGCCACCATGTGGTTTCTGGGAATTGAATTCAGGACCTCTAGAAAAGTAACCAGTGCTCTTAACCTCTGAGCCATCTCTCCAGCCCGAGAGTTTTTTGTTTTTTGTTTTTGTTTTTTTGTTTTGTTTTGTTTTGTTTTGTTTTGTTTTGTTTTTGGCTTTTTGAGACAGGGTTTCTCTGTGTAGCTTTGCGCCTTTCCTGGATCTCACTCTGTAGACCAGGCTGGCCTTGAACTCACAAAGATCTGCCTGGCTCTGCCTCCCGAGTGCTGGGATTAAAGGCATGGGCCACCACCGCCCAGCAAGATTTTTTTAAGATTTATTTTTAATCATGTTTGTGTGTGTCTGTGCCTGGAGAGCATAAATGTTAGGTTCTTTGGTAAATTACAGGCAGGTGTGAGCTGCCTGAGGTGGGTGCTGGGAACTGAACTATGGTCCTGCAAGCGTAGTTATTGCATATTCTTAGCCACTGAGCGCACTCCAGCCTGCTCTGAGTAATTTAATCTGTGGTTCCTTGGGTCAGTTTGGTTTTGGTGTCCAAGTAATCCTGACCACACAGGGTGACCTGGAGAAGATTCATTTTGCATTTTCTAAGTTGATGTAGAGTCCCTGCTATTTCTTCCTTAAATGTTCGGTTGAATTCACTAGTGATGTCTTTACCCAGGGGCTTCTCCAGACTTCATTCTGCTGTCTCGACCACCACTTTGCCACCATGCCTGGCTCATACAGCAATGCTAATGCAAGTGTATTTGGTGTATAAATGTGGAGATTTTCTAAAGATCTTTTCTGTTAGTGATAATTTAATTCCCGTATGATAAACAACAGCTGTGTGTCTCTAATTCTGTTAAATTAATGGAGTCTTATTTCTAATTGTGCCTCAGATTATGATACTTTTTGGTAAGCTGTGTCTGTACTTGAAGAGAGTGCACATAGTTGTGCAGCATTTCAAACATCAGGACCAAGGCCTGTTCCGAAGTGTATGGTCTTTAGAATCACGGTCCTTTTGATGACCACCTGTTATGGAGTGCCTTTCTTTACCTGCCGTGATTGTTACATTGGCCAGACCACTGCACTTTCTCATCATGGATCATCATGGATGCCTTTTCCTGTAGTCTTGTTTTAATCTTTAGCATATAAAAGATATAAAATGTATTTATAGCTTTAGCACAACTTTATGTCACATTTGAATTTTTTAAGCAGTATGTAGGTCTGTCTTGCTTTTGTTGTCCAATTTGGTAATTGCTGCTTAAAAGTTTTCTTTTACAGTTATTTGTCTGTGAGTCCATTTTAAAAACAGGGCCTCGGGGTTGGGGATTCAGCTCAGTGGTTGAGTGCTTGCCTAGCAAGTGCAAGGCCCTGGGTTCGATCCTCAGCTCTGGAAAAAAGAAAAAAACAAAACAGGGCCTCATGAGCCCCTCCACCCTGTGTGTTAGAATTTTGACTGGCATGGTTTTGTGTAGGCAACCATAGCTGCTATGAGTTAATGAGAGCACAGGTCTTGTCCTGACCAGAGGACACTGTTTTGTCCAGTTCCTCCCTGACCTCTTCCCTTTTCATGATGTCCCTGAGACGGGGGTGGTGTGTGTGTGTGTGTGTGTGTGTGTGTGTGTGTGTGTGTGTGTGTGTGTGTGTGTTGGGGGCGGGTTATAAATGTCCCATTTGTGGCTGAGCATGCCACTGATACTCATTTTCTGTACTGTGCCCTTCTGTGAGTTCCTGTTGCTTCAAGAAATTCGAATTGGGGGCCAGAAAGATGGCTAGGCAGTTAAGAGCTCTGTATGCACAACACTGAAGACCCGAGTTCTAGTCCCGGCAGCCATGTGACGTGCCTGGTGCCCACACACACTTACAACATTGGCTCCAAGAAAGGTGAGCCATGAGGATTGCGGGGACTTGTTGGGTCGCAGCGTAGCCAAGGAACAGGACCCCCAGGGTTGGCGAGAAACCCCGCCTCAACGTAATCGGAAGTGATAGCACCTCTGTACAAATTTGGATGGACACACACACCCCAGTAGTAAGTCTTAGACAAACAGAAAGGAAAGTTATCATTTGGGATTTCCAGGGCAGATTTCTTATATAGCCAAAGTCTTCATTTCAGAGCTTTACGTTATTGTGAAATAGTGTTTAAGTATGTAAGTTGTGTGAATGAATCTATTGCAGAATTTTACATATATATTAGATATTATCTTCTTTTCATATTGATATGTTTGACTATCATGTTTGCTCATAAAATTATATAGTTTTAAAAATTTAAAGTTAACGAAAAACAAAGAAAAAAGGTAAATATTAAATCTGGTGGTGGTGGCGCACACCTTTAATTCCAGCACTCCGGGAGGCAGAGGCAGGTGGATCTCTGAGTTCCAGGGCAGCCTGGTTTACAGAGAGAAACCCTGTCTTGGAAAAAAGAAAAGGGAGGGGAGGGGAGGGGAGG